GATGGTGTCACTATGTTTTAGAACAAGCTATCGGCTGGCGTTTTACGTACCAGTGGTCTACTACTTTGTTTTACTTTTATTTCTGATGTTGTTTTCATGGTGAGGCGAGAATCTGGTACCGGTTTACGGGATTATGGGTTGTTTCAAGCCGGTGGCGCCATTTTGCAATTGGGGTTGCAAGTTCCCCGGAATCTCTTCTTCCTTTTCGGTTCGCTCAAGATTCACTTGGGCTGCTGCTTATGGACTTGTGTACTATCAGAAGTTTTAAGACAGATTTTGTTTTGTGTCAGTTATGGTGCTGGATGTTTTAGGCGTGAAACTTGGCCCTTTGAAAATTTTTTAATTCAATGAACTTTATGATTGTGATTGGAAATGTAAGGAATATCAAAGTTATGGATGAACTTTGATGGTGTATTGGAATCTCTGTGTAGGGTTGTATAGGGTATCTGATTGTTTATACATAGATTGGTGATTGCAGAGCTGCCTTGCTCTGTCCAGTATCCAGGCAATCACAGATTTGCCAGCACACAAAGCACGCAAATACGTTTCCACAATTGGGCCTGTGGCCCTGGTCCCCCATTTGTGGATATATCTCAGTCAATCTTGAGCCGTTTTCTGCTTCCATTTCCTCCCATCTCTTCATCAATGGCCACAGTACTTTGGCCGAAAGTCTCCCACTCCGCCTGGTATAAAATCCGACTTCTCCAATTGGAAATCTCCTGGGGCATTTTTCGTTTCGCAAAAAGTGTGTGCTCTATTTCCTCTTCTTTAACTTCCGGCTTAACATTATGATCCAAGGACTGGGGATCGGGTTTGCCTATCCAGCGCCATAGTTTCGATTCTTCCGCACGGCTCGCTTCTTGATCCAAGGCGTTGGCATGCTTTTCTTGCGCGTCCGAGAGATCGTCTTCCGCATCCATGGAGTCCTGAGCGGTAGAGGGAATTCTTCCACTTGTGTCCGACTCGAAGCCTTCGCCAGAATAACTCGAGCCTTCGGAAGCGGAGCTCATCGCTTGGGGCGCTGTCTTTATATACTCTGGGTCGATGTCGGATTTTGGGCCCAATAATGCGTCGAGTTCATCGTAGCTGAGAAGTACGGTTTTATAATTTTCTCCGCTGTCATGACGGATGTCAAGTGCACAACGCCGAGGAGCACTAGCCCAAAATTTCCTGGAGTTGGGCTCCATTTTTAGAATGTCCAATGCAGCAAATATATCCTCCTTCTTCACCACCTTCTTAGGATTAACATGGGAACGCTCTATTGCACGTATCCGCGACAATGCAAAAAAGATGGACGAGTGTACGATCCGACGGGTGATGCTAATAGTTAATGCGTAGAAGTCAGAAAAAGCATCACAGGTCAATGCCGGTGTTTCGTCCTCAAAGCATATTTGAGTCCAATTGTCTTCTAACCTCCTTTCCCCTGCATTCATGAAAACACGTTCGGATAGTCGGATCCAATTTGATATTTTTAGTAGCTTCGCTGTAGCAGATATGCTATGCATTTTGACGGTATTAACTTGGCCGTTACGATCGCCCTCTGCCAGTGATTTGGATTCAGTTTCCGGTTGCAACTCTACCTCGAATTCCGATGCTGGAATCACTCCTGGCTCTAGTGATTCTGGCTCCGGGTCCTTCTCTGATTCGGATTCTTCCTCCGGCTCCAGTACCTCTTCAACATAAGCGGCAACTTCATTGTCTATAAGCCAAAAATCTCCGTGTTTCCGCCTCCCTGCAACATTATGGGCCTGTTCGTCCCGTAGGGATAATGCGCTGGCAACATTTTCCAGCGCTAGGCAGCATTCCTTGCTAACCTCGTATGCGGCGGGAACGTCTGAGAGCGTGATATTTTTCACAGTCTCTTCTGTAACGTTATGCAGCTCAAAATTGCGGTGTAGTAGATCAAGGTAATGTCTCACTTCCATTTGGCTTTTGGTCCCGATAAAAGCTGCAATTTCTGGAATTGCGTCTTTTCCTTTCCTAGCGAGGGCTGTAAAGAATGCATTCTTCTCTTGTGGGGACCAGCTGATGATGCCGTACTGAGTACCGAAGAGCCTCGGTCCATCACCGTATTCAGGCCCACCAAGCATATCGTCAACCACTTCTTTGTAGAGGTCCGAGTATTTGCCAACAGGAAGCGTAGCTGCCGCTCGCAAGGCGAGACGTCGCGGCTTGAGGCGTTGCCTTTTGTGGCGTTGGGATACGTTTCCGTGCGATGTGCCATTATGGAGAGGCTTCGAATCGTGTAGGACATTTTGGTGTGGAGGGACAGAATGTCCAGAAGCTCCGGAGGGATTCCCATGCTGGGTGGTATCTTCTTCTTGTTCCTCCCCCTCTTCCTCCTCTTCAGGCTCATAGCTCATAGAAGAATCGCTCATTGTTCAGGCCTGGGCTTAACACAGGATCCCAACTTCGATTAGCAGGCTTCATTCGCACCGGAAAGAAGGAAGCAAGTGGATACATAACACTGCGAAGGATCATTTCATGAGTATATCATCTCTCATCTCATTAAGCACACAACAGATGATTGCTTGATTCACTTTTTGAGAAGTTTGGAGCTTGCTCTGGTTTGGGACCTTTTTGGGGGGAAGCTCCTTGTTTGCATAGTTTGTACGGTTTGCAGTGTCGCCACTTTCCCGCCGATCGTGTGCTTCGCAGCAGCAGCCGGACCGCAGAATGGCAACAAAAGCAGAAGTGAGCACTGGAACCCGCGATCATGGGAAATGCAGTGCCTTTCAAGGTGTACTGCAGTATTTAGGCCTGCTGGACGGCTTTGGCGAACAGGGCTCGCATTTCGCCGGTTTTACGCCCACATATCCGAGCATGATGAGCCTCCATTGATTCCAAACAGTGAAATTCGACTGCGTGATTACCAGGAGGAATGCATTCAGTCTGTGCTCTCGTATCTAGGAAAAGGCCACAAAAGACTTGGGGTTTCGTTGGCTACTGGAAGCGGAAAAACGGTAGGAGGTTTCTCCCTTGTTGGCAGTAAGCCATTGTTGTGCTAACATTCCTCAATCGCATAGGTCATATTCACTCAGTTAATTGACCGAGTCAAACCCCGCAAGCAGGATGCAAAACAAACTCTTATTTTAGTCCACCGAAAGGAGCTTGTTGAACAAGCTGCTAGGCACTGCATGCTGGCGTATCCAGAGAAAGTGATTGATATTGAGATGGCAAATAGTCATGCGACCGGGACCGCAGATATCACGATTGCTTCTATCCGTAGCCTTCTCTCCAAAGGGCGCATAGAGAAGTTTGATCCTGATAGATTTAAACTCGTGTTGGTAGACGAGGCACATCACATTGTGGCTCCAACTTATCTTGAAGTCCTAGAGCACTTTGGCTTGGATGAACCAAGTGACGACTCTCCAGCTTTAGTTGGGGTTTCGGCGACATTTTCACGATTCGACGGCTTGCAATTGGGTACGGCCATTGATCATATCGTATACCACAAAGACTACGTTGACATGATCGGAGAAAAATGGTTGGCCGATGCTCTTTTCACCACAGTACAGTCACATGTAGACCTATCCAAGGTCAAGGATGCGCAAAACGGCGATTTTCAGACCAAACAGCTATCAGCAGCAGTAAACACGGACAAGACAAATGAGATAACTGTTAAAGCTTGGTTTTCGCGTGCCGAAGGGAGGAAGTCCACACTTGCTTTTTGCGTTGACATTGAGCATGTCAAGTGTTTGACCGAAAAGTTTCGTTCCTACGGGATCGACGCTCGGTATATAACTAGCCAAACTCCAAAGGATATCCGCACGCAAGAGCTGGACGCGTTTAGGAACCATGAATACCCGGTTTTGCTTAACTGTGGCCTTTTCACCGAAGGTACCGATATACCAAACATTGATTGTGTGTTACTCGCCAGACCTACAAGATCCAAGAATCTGCTTGTGCAAATGATAGGTAGAGGGTTACGCTTGCATCCAGGAAAGCAAGACTGTCACATCATTGATATGGTTGCTGCATTGCAAACTGGAATTGTGACAACTCCAACTCTGTTTGGTCTTCATCCAGATGAGGGTCTTGATAAGGCATCTGTCGATGACATCGATAGGCTTAGGGAGAAACCCATAATACCTCAATTGAAAGGATCGAAACCTGATCCAAAGGGTGATATTGTTGTCGACTTCACAGATTATGATTCAGTGCATGACCTTATCCAGGACACCTCAGGGGAAAAGCATATTCGCTCACTCAGCAAAAATGCCTGGGTGAAAATCAGCGAAGATCGATACATACTCACGGCCCCTCCAGGCAGGTTAGTTATTGCCAGAGATGACTCAGGACTCTTCTCGGTATCTCAGGTAATGGCGCTCCCGCCTAGTGCAAAATCAAAAAGCCCGTTCGGCCGCCCGAAAGAGGTGGCATCCTCATTACCGCTTGCAGAAGCGGTGCATGCTGCCGATACTCTCGCTGGTCGTATCTTCGGTCCAATATTTGTGGCTCTATGGCAACCATGGCGGAAGAAGCCAGCCAGTCCGGGTCAAATTGGATTTTTGAAGAAGGCTCTTGATTTTGAGGATGATCTCCTACCTGAGTATATAACGAAGGGTCAAGCTGCAGACATGATTACAAAGCTCAAGCATGGTGCTCGAGGGCACTTCAAAGACCTTCTTTCGATGAAGCGCCGCATTGATCGGGACAAGGCAAAGGATGCAAGGTTTGAAGAGCTGAAAGGTCGAGAAGAGGTTAAGGTCGGACCATTGAATTAAACTTCAGGGTGGCGTTTCTATTGTGTTTTATGACACTTTGGAAGAGCCTGTTTGTACTCCGTATATTAGGTGCATAAGGCTGTTTTATATTAATTATTCAACAGTTCTCAAAACGTTTTCTCCGTAGACCCAGCCTGCCGTCGCGATGTCCGCGCGGAGAATTTTTGCCCCTTGCGTGGTGGTCCGTGCGCACTTCCCGTCTTTTTTGTTGATGGCGTCGTAATGGGTTCTTGGTGCAAGGTGAACTCCTGCATCGGCTCTGTTCCCCTCCCACAGGCTCCTCCTCTCCCGCTGCTCTGCTCTGACAAAAATTTATGGCCATTTCGGCCCTTCATCTTTGTGTTGAATCACCGATCCTGCAACTCGGGGCTGGGCAGGACGAGCAGATGCGCAGATGCAAGGACGCCCCAACGGAGCTTCAGGTGATCCCAATCCCAGGAACGATACCTCCGTGACCATCGATTCCGACTCCGACAATGGAAGTAGGCATAGGATTGCCGAAGTTCGTGGTTCCTCGCCGTCTCAAATAGTGCCGGAGAAAGCTACGATATTGAATGACAAGGTTAAAGCCGGCCCATGCCTGTCAACGGAGAAAGACCTTGGGATCCGGAAGCAACTCGCGCTTTCTCATACGGAATCAATTATTGCGTCCAATCCAATCGCCGTGATGCCCCTCGAGTCCCCAAAGCAGCGGCTAGCGATGGAGAGCTCCACGGAATCACACAGGCTGCGCCGGGCTCGAACTCGCAACCCGTGGATTTGCTCAGGGCTGGTCCTCTTTGTCACCGTGTCTGCTCTTCTCATCCTTTCAATTATCGTATACTCTTACCAGAGTCTTCAAGTTGATCCGCAAGGGTGCAGAACGCCGAGTATGCGGCCGACCTACATAAAGCTCGTTGGGTTTGATTCGGAACACACACGCTTCGCTAGCAAGTATGGTCTTTACCTCTACCGGGAAAGAGGGGTGGATGAATACAGCGAAGAGGATATTGGGGTATGGAGTCTCCTATGGTGGCTTTTTTGGAAATTGTTCTGACACCATCTCACAGATTAAGGGCGTGCCGGTTCTTTTTTTGCCTGGGAACGCAGGAAGCTATAAACAAGGCCGTTCCCTCGCGTCCGAGGCCTCCTTATACTTTCACGACGTCTTGCAATATCATCAGGAACGACTCAAAACAGGTGTGCGGGGTCTGGACTTCTTCATGGCGGACTTCAACGAAGATATGGCTGCTTTTCATGGGCAGACCCTTCTCGATCAAGCGGAGTATGTGAACGATGCATTGGCCTATATTCTCTCTTTATACCACGACCCGCGTCGGCCAGGCAGAGACCTCAACCTTCCCGACCCGACATCTGTGATACTTATCGGTCATTCAATGGGTGGTATTGTTGCCCGTACGGTCCTTACCATGTCAAATTATCAAACAAACTCTGTCAACACAATTATTACGATGTCGACGCCTCACGCGAGACCTCCCGTTTCATTCGATTCCGATCTCGTTCATACATATAAACAAGTTAACAACTATTGGCGCGAAGCTTACTCACAAAAGTGGGCCAATAACAACCCCCTGTGGCATGTCACTTTGATTTCAATTGCTGGAGGAGGTGGCGATACGATCGTCCCTTCAGATTATACCAGTCTCTCTTCTCTTGTTCCTGAAACGCATGGCTTTACGGTCTTTACCACCACTATACCTAATGTTTGGACAGGGATGGATCACCTTTCCATCGCTTGGTGCGATTCATTTAGGAAAGTTATCATAAGGTCTCTGTTTGACGTTATTGATGTTAGGCGCTCCTCTCAAACCAAGCAGCGAGCCGATCGCATGAGCGTGTTCAAGAAATGGTATTTGACTGGCATGGAAGTTTCTGCAGAGAGAAAACTGCCGAGAAAAGGTACCGACAATTGTCTCCTTAAATTTGCTTAGGCTGACATGTTTTTAGAACATACCACACTTTTGACACTTGGTGACGACACAAAATCTAAATCTATCCTACGACAAGATGAAAAACTTACCCTCCGTGGATTTGGACACCGTAAAGGGCCTAAGTCCCACCTCATGCCTATTCCTCCTCGTGGAGGTGTTCCAGAGAAGAAACTCACCCTTTTGACGGACCAGAAACTTAACTCCATGGAGACCAACCGAAAATTGGATGTGTTGTTCTGCAGTGATTTCCCCTTACGAGCGGGACAATCCGCAACTCTTCCTTCATTGAACCTCGATCTCTCTGGAGGGAGTGCAAGCTCGATCCGACTAGTTTGCAAAAGTGCTGCAGAAGATGTGATTTCCCTTCCAACATCTACATCCTCTTCAAAGTTTGCATTTGACAATGTTCCTTCCCTGTCCTATTTGCAGTATGATCTCGAAGACCTCACGGAATATCAGTTCGTGGTGGTGATTGACAAAGCCGAGACACGATATCCCGGTTGGCTACATGCGGAATTCTCAGACAGTTCTGATTCTGTAATTCCCACTAGGGTTGGGCTTGGCAGATTACTGAGTGCAGGTCTGAATATTAGACTTCCTGCAGAAAGACCGATGGTTATTGATATAAAAGTTCCTGCACTTCATTCAAGTCTACTCGCATATAAGCTGCACGTTGAAAGCAAGGACTGTGATGGAACTGAGCTCTTTAAGCCGATGGTGCGGCAATACATCTCGGGTCCCTACGAATCGAAATTTTTCGTCAATGTGAGAGATGCCGAAATCAACCTTCACGGAATTGCGCCGTATATGCCTCCGCATATTGGAGACAATGCTGCCGCCACTGGAATCTCATTTCAACTTTGGTCTGATGCATCCTGCAATGGACCGCTGCAACTCTCGCTGAAAGTTGATGTTCTCGGGAGTATGGGAAAGCTCGCAATGCGTTATCGTACAGTGTTCGCGGCCTTTCCTCTGCTTGTGGTGTCACTTGTCTTGCGGCAGCAATTCAAAGTATACAATCAAACAGGTAAGCTAATAGATATTGTTTGCTGATATGTAGAAACTAACTGGTTCAGGTATTTTTATCAGCTTTATGCAAGCATTGGACCTATGCATTCGATCGTCTATACCGTTACTTTTTCTCGGCCTTACTTTCCTGGCGTCTTCGTTGGCAACGTCAAAAAATACTCTATCCAAAAGCGCATCGCCGAATGCTGGGTCCAACTCAACGGAGTCTGTTATCGATTTCTCCGCCAACGATCTCCTCTTAGGGTCGCAAGATGCCTTCTTCTGGTTTTTAGTGCCACTATTCGGCATCATTAGCATCGGTACATGTGTTATTGTTAACTATGTTGCGATGATCCTTATTCATGCGCTTGGGGCGATCCGCGCGATCCTGATGTCTCGTAAAGGCTACATCAAGCACGATGAACGAGGGTAAGCCGTTGTTGGTTAGAGGTGCTGTAATTGTCCTTGCTAACCTCTAATTTAGCAATACATCGATATTTTGGTCTTTATCGACGAAAAATCGAGTAATCAACACCGCTGTGCTCCTCTTATTTGTTGCAACTTTCATACCATATCAATTTGCGTACGTTGTTGCGTGTGTTGTCCAACTTGTAACGTGTGTCCAGGCATCCTGGCACGCTCGGGAAACAGTAAGACCTCTTACCCATTCCTTACCCTCCCGATGCGGTGCTAACTACGGAAAAAGCGATCAGCGTCACATTCCAGCTTTTATAACTATGTTCATTCCATTTTCATTCTGATGATCTGGATCCTTCCTATCAATGTGCTTGTTCTCATTGTCTGGATTCATGATCTGGCCGTTCACTGGCTTACGCCGTTTTCCTCGAACCATAACGTGTTTTCTATATTGCCGTTTATGCTCCTTGTCGAAACATTGACATGTGGAACTATGATACCAAGGATTACGACTCAGTATGTTCAGGTCGCTTCCAGCTAAGGGTTCGCTACTAACACGCATAATTTTAGTTTGCGACACATCACCTATGTCCTGTTCTTCTTCCTCGCTGCCTACTCCGCTATATATGGCGTAACATATGCATATCTTCTCCACCATATCACCAACTTAGTGATTGCATGGCTGGTGGGAATTCATTTCTTCGCGGGCGGGTTTTCGCTTCGAAACTTAAGCCGGGTAATCAACGACTCTGATGGGGTACCCAACGGATCCCCCATAACCGATGGGCACATAAAAAAGTTACCATAAACGATAACTTTCGTCCTTTTCTCTTAAAATACGGCATTCTCGTTTCCAAAAGATTATTCATAATATATAGACATTTCTTGCATGAACTGGCATGCTTGTGTGATTGGTTTTGTTTTCTGTACTATAGTTTCGCTTTTTGCCCCTCTGCTAATCATCTCCATGCAGTACACTTCTACTGTCATGGTTTGGTTTAGGTGCTCTTCCAGTACGTGCACCTATCCCTCCGTGGGCTCTGTATTATACGTCTCGTCTTTGCCACTTTCTTGTTCGCGAAGCCGCCCGCTGAGTATCCTTCGTGGAATTTTCAGAGCTTCTATCAACTCTTGTTTTAGCGGGTGCATGGAGTTATGATAGGAAATCGGGTTTGTGACTCGCTGGACCAACAACCATCATGACACGGGACGAAAGGTGTGAACCGTTTTTTGTGAGGATTTTCTCTAGGGATAGGGTATTCCCCCAGTTGCTGGGCTTTTTCTGTTTTGTTATGGATCCCTAGTGCCCTATCTTGTCTGATTCTCCGACTGGCGGATTATTTTTGATAAGAGATCTCAAGACACGTTGACTATGACTCCATCGTAGGTGTTTGCAGAAGCTCTCGTATATGCTTCGTAAATACCAATAATGCACCAATAACATTAATTGAGTTCGTTCCTCTGCGGGCGCAAAACAATTCTTGAAATATGCCAATGTTGATATATAGGCAATATAGACATTAAATTTAAACATGGTAGCAGTTACCTCCAAAAACCGATGCTGATCCGAGTCCATCAACGTCATGGATTAAAACTATGAATAAAGCCAATGGATAAGAAGCAGAAGACCCCCACCCAAAGATGAGATACTCAGTTTGTTAAGGTCACCATCCGGTTCATCCACTTCTCCGCGCCTGTTTTCAAAACTTGCTCAAATATCCATTCCCCCACATCCGCCCTCTGGATAGTGTACCCAACCGCAGGCTTATCCTCTGTCCCCACACGCAAGGTCTTCCAACCTCTCCCGCTAGTAATATTATGATCACCCGTCAAAAGTGATGGCCGCACGGAGACGAACCCTCTCAAAGGCCGATCAGAAGGATCTGTAGTATCCATGCTGGAGATTATAGCTCTTTCCATTTTCCGCTTGTCTTGATGTGGGACGGCAAGAAAGTAGTGATAAAATAGACGGAAAAGGAATGGGACATCCTCAGCAGCTAAAGAAATTCCCGTGGTGGAGATGATTGCTAGAAGTGGCTTTTGCTGGTCTTGGGAGCGCTGGGAAGACTGGAGCTCCCGGATTGCGCTGAGGAGCACGTTCGTGCTTTGTTCGCAAATGTGCGGGTTATCCAGTGTCACAGGTGTCAAGGCAGAGAGCTGCAGCTTGGGTGAGCCGCCGAGTCCCGAAATTATGGTGGAGACCATCCTCCCGTTATTTGGCCCAGGGACAAGGGCCCGTTTGACGGCGGCGATGTCTGTTGCATCGCCCTGGATGACGGTTAGGTTGCTGTCAATTGTAAATCGGTCGATGCCCTGGGAGAGCAAGAGGTTGATGAGCTTGGGAGGAATTCGAGCGAGCGCTGCAGCTTTGTAGCCAGCTTTGAGCGTGTGAACGAGGCAGGCGTTTGCACAGCCGCCGGTTGCGCCAAAGAAGGCAACAGGAATATATGGTGAATCAGTCATCGGGTCTCAAAATTGTGATGGTTAACTATTGATGGCATTCAGCAGACTCTTTGAAAGAAACCCCGCAATATTGAACATTTTGGTTATCTTGTAGGGAGCTTTGTTGCGCTTTAATCAACTAACTAGCTAGAGCCGTTGGACGCCAGTTCTTGTTGGTGTCAATGCGCAACTTAAACCCCGTGAATGCATTCTCCACCAAGGCTGCAATATTAAATTATAGGAATATGACACACAAAATCTGGAACCTGTATGGAGTTGCCTTGAGAATCTCTTAAGGAAAAAAAGAAAAAGGAGAAAACAGCCCATCACGGGATATGAAAGATATAAATATAATTCCGCTTCCTTTGGGCGCGGGATGTATTTACAAAAGCCATATATGAATCAATTGAATATTCGACCCCATTCGCCATATTCGAAGGCATCGAGGTTGGAATACTGCACATGATAGACCAATCATAGCATATACTTGAACAATGGCGAACGGTCACCCTTTGCAGTTCCTCATCAGTGTATTTCCTCTAGCGTCATCTTCGTCTTGCGCCTATTAATCCTGATATAAGCCAACTCCAATGTGATAGTGGCCACAATTCCTGCACACGCGAAAGCAAATGATGATCCAAAGCCGGTTGGGTATTTTGGCTTCTCTTTCTCGATGTAGATGAAAGAACCGGGAATACCACCCAAGTTGCCAATGGAGATCATATATGCGATGCCCATGGCCCTCTTTCTTGCGCCTGCGAGGTTATCGACTGTCCAAGCGTTTATGCCAGGAGTGATCGGATAAAAGCCAACACACGCGAACATAATCGCAAAATAACACGCAGCCACGTTGTCTTTGAAATTTTCCGCCTTCGAGAAGAGGACCGCGAAAGCGATGACAACACAAACTAGCCGAAAATAATGAACGGGAAACGCCATTTACACCGATCGGAGAGAAGGGAAGATACGTAGGTGACCAAGCCGCCGAGCATGTATGGCGGAACTGTGAGTGACTGGGCTTTGGCTGAGCTGTATCCCATATTCTTGATGATCTGAGGCATGGTAAACTTCAGCCCGTAGTTTGGCACGGCGTTACCCCAGAAATTTATGATTTGCAGATAGAGTTGCCAGTCAGTTACAACCTGCCATAGGGTACTCCAATCGAACTTGCCGGGATCCTCGTCGACAACAACACGACCTCTTTGAGCACGCTGACGAAGCTCAAGATATCTAATCTCATCTGGTTCTAACCAGCGCTTAGAGAGGGCCGGAGAATCCACCAAAGCGAAGAAGGCGAAAGCACTCAGTGCAATAGAAGCCAGGCCCTCGATGATGAAAATCCATCTCCAGCCATTGTAGCCTCCAATACCTCGCATTTTTGCAATGGCAAAGGCTAGAAGACCTGAAAACGCGCCTGACAGCGCACTGGCACAATAAATAGTGCAATTCGAAGCTGGGTTTCGCCAGGGAGGTACCACCTAGATACTAGTAGAACCGCACCAGGGAAGAAGCCAGCCCTATCATGAGGAAATTAATAAAGTAGGAAGCTTGGAAAAGGAGAAATCCCTCACTCACTCAAATATTCCAACGGCAAGGCGCGTTGCGACCAGCCCTCCGAAATTGTTGACAACGCCCGTTAAGGTCATAGCAATGCCCTAGCCGACGGTAATAATGCCAATGTAGGTGGAGGGCCGTTTGAACCTCGAAAGGAGAACATTACTAGGAACCTCTGTTGTCTAGTCAGTGGAACCATCGTGAAGTGAGTAGGACTGCGCATCACATACCACAAATCACATAGGGAAGAAAGAATATTGACACTGCAAAGCTGTATTGAGTACCGCTTAACTTCAAGTCAGTTAACAGCCCCTCGATCTTCGCATTCCCTGTTCAGAGTCAGCAACGATACCATGGAACGCGGCGCCCATAAAGACTTACCAATATTGGCGCGGTCGATGTATGCACAAAGGTATAACACCATGAGCATGGGACATAGATGCCAATCGATCTATCGGAGAAAGGGTAAGATATTGAGCAATGTGCATGGGATAGGAGGATTACTTTGCGAATGCATTTCTTTCTTCGCTCCTCGGAGAAGTTTGCGAGAAAAGAAGCCACTTCAGGAGTCAATCCAGCATGGATATACGTTTGCTCAAGGCTAGATTCCACATTCTTCTCCCTGTGCCGCTCCAGAGAGGGATTCTCAACTTCTTCAACGCTGGCGGATTTGGTGTCCATCGTTTCAACTTAACACTATCTTCCCGGACACTTGCAGATGCTCGGGTATAAGACGTCTCTGCAATGACCAATGTGTATTCGAACCTGGGGAACAGGTTACTTTTGTACGGCCCACGAGCATATGCCATCTCGGCCATTTCACAATATTTTGCCGACCAAGCAAGGCATCTTATTTTTTGCGGGGTAGCGTGATATTAGGAGTATGGAGGCTCCAAAAACTCGGGGAAATCGAAGATTTGGCATGACGATCTAGGAATTCAAGCGGCTTGAAAATAGAATGAGAATCTTATTTCGCCTTTTGATACCGCGGAAGTTGGTTCAATGCACACTTGATCCATGGGGATATCCACATTTTACTTGGGATTGACAAGGAGATAGCCCAGACGAGTTACAAGCAACTATAGACTTTCGGTGAGGGATGAACGAAGTACGGCGGTAGGGACCGAAACATACTTGAGAGTGCGGAGGGCGTGCTTCAAGGCCATTTCGAGGGGAGGATATCAAATCCACCTAAGCTTTAGTAGTCAAAACCCCACTAGCCAATTAACGACACCAAAGCCCGTGTAAGGATTAGGAATGTATAAAGTCAGTAGTTTTGACCGTAAAATCGAAGATACCCTTTAGTTATCGGCCGCGTTTTCCTCACATGATCTAGAAGACTCCTATCCAGGATGGAAACGGGAACGGGCCATCGTCACCATGGTTTAGGAGAGCAACTCGTATGGATGGAGGGTTACTCTCCGTTTCTTACGCTTCCAGCCAGCCAATTGCAAGTAGGTAGTCCAGACTAAGCTAATGCCTCTGGATCTCGAGGAAGGGAAGCACAGACGCTATGGGAGATCTTAATGCTTGGCCTCCATCGTGCACCGGAATGAGAAATCGATGACTCCATATCGTCTCTCGGGCAATTTCGTTCAGCCAGACAAGAGCTACTCAGTCTTTTTTCTAGAGTCAGGAGTGGTGTGCGGTAGGATCAGTGAGTGAGGTTGCGGATGGGTAGAGTTGCCTGGCCTGGCGGTGGTTGCGAAGCACTAGCTGGTTAGTTAAGTAAGGTAGTTCACCACTAAGCAAGCCACACCACTAAACAAGCCAAATCTTCCACCACCAAAATTCCTCCAATGTTCAACATTCAATATGCAACAACATGGTTAACAATGCCTTAATTAGGCTTGCAATTGAAGATCTTGAATCACAAGAGATCTCAAATTACACTGTAACTGCAAGAAAGTACTTAGTTAATTAAGAGACTCTGCACTAATAGTATAAAGACTTGTAACTTACTCAGAATAAAGCAGTCTTCTGATATAAGAAAAAGCTCTCTGATATACAGAAGACAGAGCTTCTGAATTATATAAATAAGCTCTCTAGCTGTGGCCTTGTCATTACATCTCAGATTCTATAAAATATTATACAAGAGATGACAGAAGAGAATATTAAGATTAACTGAGTTAATTAATTTTACAAGTAGTATAATAACAAGATTAAATATATTTATCTTAAAGTAATTAATCAAAATAGATAGATAGCAGATAACTATTAGTACTTTAAGTACTTCTATATACTTATAATTTAATGATTTATTTAATTACTTGCAATTGCAGTTGTTGATGCTGGCTAATTATTTAACTATTACTTATAAAATAGTTGAAGCAGAAAATTAATCAATATAATTTTGAGCTCTCAAATATCTATAACTTTAATAAAAAAGAATTTCTTCTAGACTTCTGCTATATCTTAAAGTAATTAGTCTCTATTAAAGCTCTACAAGCTGGAAAGAATGCTGTCATTCAGAATAATAGTTAGAAATTTCTCTTATTACTCTGCTCAGTCTCTGCTGAAGAAATTGCACTATCTCTAGCTCTTATTTACTAGAGTGAATTGTGAGATCTTTAGAATATATGACTAGATGATTATAATAAAAGCAAATGGATCTATTTTGCAGCTTCAACAAATAGTTGGAGCAATAATAAATATGAACTGGAGTAGTTGAAATAGATTTTTAATCAGTATACTAAGAAACAAGCTAGTTAAGAAAGATATCTGCTTTTACTAGATGGCTATTCCTCTTATATAAATATGAAATTTATTGAATATGCTAACTGTAAAAAGATTCTTCTTATAATTCTTCTACTGCATTCAATTCACTGTTTGTAATCTCTTGATATTAGAATCTTTGAACTACTGAGCAAGACATATTTTAATGAGCTGAAAGTACTACTATATCAAGAAATAAGCTATATTTGAATAACAAAAAGGAATTTCTGAAGATTATTTAATATGGCTTGAAAGAAGACTTTAACAGTTAAAAATATACTTACTAACTTTATAAAGACTGAGATTAATTCTCTGAATTTTCAATATTAACTATACTGATTTAAAACTACTCAAGCTTCTATACTATCAGTTAAATCTTCTATTTCTAGTAATATATATCAGCTCTGACAAGAGATCAAAAGTATATGTCTTCAGTACAGTCTAAATTTGCAGAGTATTAAATAAATTATTCAAGCCAGTAAGTAGTTTACTCTTTATAATAAACTGCTGGAATATAAGAATCAGTAGCTAAGATTAACTCTAGTAATAAAGAAATAATGCTGCAAGCAAGACAAGTCTCTAGATTTATTTAATAGAGATAATTCTAGTTAAGTATAGTTCTGGTCTTTAATAAAAGTTCTTAAGACACACAAGTGTCTGAATAAAATAAAGACTGAAAAAGCTGATAAAATTACTTAAATATAAGAGATAAAACTTTAATAAGAGCTTCAAAAAATGCAAGCTGCTAGAGATATTAAAAAAAAATAAATTAAACAGAAGAATATTTATAAAAAGATCTGAAAGTAATAAGAGACTGAAAAAATTAAATATACTAGACAAAGAAAGACACAATATATTGCTTATAAGAAGAAGAAAACTTTATAACTAGCAGAGAAGAAAAAACAGATGATTAAATATACTAATAAATACTAATAGTCAGAACTTCAAGTACTGGCTTTAAAGTACTGTCAGAAGAACTTCTCTACTAAAGAATCTTATTACAGAGAGTCTATACAATCTTTTAAAAGAGAAAATAAGAGCTCTACAAGCATCTCTAGCAAGATATTAGACTCTCTAGTCAAGAAATCTACTGTTGACATTTCTTTGAATTCTTTTCTATCTACTCCCTGAATCTCTTGCTCTGGCTGTAATATTAGGCTGTCCACCCATTTATTTTCCTAACTATACTAATTTCTATGCTTTAAAGAATACATTTATTTAATATTTAATAGCTATTTAATAATAAAGATCTGGTTGTTGAGATATTTAATAAATTCGTTGCATGGAGCATTTGGCAAAATTTGGCTTGTTTAGTGGTGTGGCTTGTTTAGTGGTGAACTACCTTATTTTAGAGTTTCAACAGGTCACGTCAACCACCAGCCCAACCCAACATGGAAAACTATCGAAGTTCGAACAGACCCTGTAAGTGCTCATCATTCCCTGTTTGGCATGATGGAGTTTGCTGAAACCTTTCCGGCATGTTGGAAAGTGGAGAAATGCGTACTTGTGGGATCTCGGGACTGAACACTTCACCGAATGAATATCTCGGTAGTTCGACAGAGCAATGATTGAGGCGAAGCTGCTAAAGGTGCTGTAGGTCAAAATTCGTCCAAGTCTGCTATGTTAAATTGTTCTTCTCCTTAATTGTTGTTACGACGCTAGCCTTTTTTCAGGGGCGGCAACTGGCAGTTTCAGCAGTTCTATCAGGTTACCGGTATTACAATCTGAGCACAAGTTGGGGAGATATCGATGTTTCTCTTCATCCCGAGAGCAGGGCCCGACAGGTGTGTATATTCGGAGAGCGCTCGGGCCAATAAGCTATTAGTCTCTCGTCGAATGAACGTATGCGAAGAAAACGCTTGAACTCGACTGTCTCCGTGGAGAAGGATGTGAATCAGCCGGGTGGCACTGTCAGACGGCACATTCTCGGAAAGCCCTAGCCCCCTGGTTCGGCTAGGTATGCTTAATCTGTTATTATATCTGTCCCGCTGAACAGCTTTTGCCCTCAGTTGCTATGTATGTCTGCGGGCTGAGAAGTGAAATCATTACCCATGTTAAGCTCTCCAGGAGCAAAGATGGGTCTCGGAGCACGTCCGTTTGAGAACTCGGTACGGCAGCGAGTACGCTCGTAACCCCTAAGGGAACACTGGCCGCTGAGCTTTATTTCACACCCGATCACTTCCTGTGCTACTTCATAGGAAATCTCTCCAGTATCCGAATCGGCTAAATAGTGCAGCAATAGGGAAGTTAGTTTTTCGGACATCTTGCCGATGCAGACAATGGATGCTGTCCGAGACTCAAATCTCGGCCTACCGAAAGCGGTTCTAACAAGACTACCGGAATGTTTAGCTCAAGCAATCAAACTTTGCATTGAATCCCACTCCATATTCTTGTATGGGCTAGGGAGGAAGGTGATTGGGACTTTTCGAACCTCAAGGAACTTGGAGTTTACGCTTGGTGCCGTGCTCGTCGCGTGCCAAAGGAAACCGCTTCCGAACATTTCTGCTTATTGGACGCTTTTTTGATACTTCTAAAGTAATTCATTTTCTATCCTTATCCTTAATTTTTCCTCGTTTGCTTGAGATAAGGCCGCAACCCGTTCGCATCCTAGGAAGGCTGCTAGTGGTGCTACTGACACTTGACGAATAGATTGCCCATACCTTCGAAGATTCAATGTCGTCGCCAAAATATGGGCTGATTGGAGTTCGTCACCTAAGTGAGATGGATATATCCACCGCGACTACGTTAAACTTGACAGCGAACCTAACGCTCAAAGTTTTATCAATCCCGCCAGCCACTTCCTGTATGACCCCTCAACCTCTGTAATTCCCGAACCCCGAACCCATACACACCTCCCATTCGCGTTCTCGCGAGACGCTATCGTTAGGTACGATACCGCCCAAGCGACATCCTCGGCGGAACTTTCCGGCATCATTCCTTTCCGATCCTGTCGAATCTTTTCTACGAGCGCAGTTTTAGTCAACCAAGGCCCTACCATCGATAAGATGATCCCGGCCTCTCGGACATCCTTGCGTGAACTCGTAGACCTGACGAGGCCCAAAACGGCGTGCTTTGATGCGACGTATAGATCTTGACCCGGGAATTCAAGGTAACTCGCTGCCGAACCAACGACAATTATACGCCCGGCTTTCTTTGCTTTCTTCATATGATGCACCGCGAGCTTAATGCCGTACACAACTCCCTTGAAGTTAACATTAAAAACGTCATCCGCCGGCTGCTTAAGCATGTGCTGGTCCTGCTCGGAGTAATCATCCGCTAAATAGTTATGAAGGACCGTGTTGCCCACCCTTTTTCGTTCTTCGTCTGGGAGGTCATGCATTTTAGCGAGTTCCGGGTCAATTCCCGCATTTAGGGCCACTATATCCGGGACTCCATGGTTTCGCTTGATATCATCGAACAGCTTCACCTGCTCGGACCAGGATGCCACATTGCACACATAGCAGGCGCTGCCACTACCAATGCCTTGCGTAGCAGCTTCGAGTTTTCCCTTGTCAACATCGGTAAGGATCACTTTTGCTCCGTGTTCCGCCCATTGCTTGGCCACAGCTATACCGATCCCAGATGCTGCTCCAGTCACCAGCACAACCTTATCGCTTAAGCAGGACTTAAGGAGATCGGATGTAGGTCGCGCAATTGCTGCCATGGTTGATAATAAGGTGAGACTCTCTCAAAGACAAGCAGAATTAATTGAGATCACAGATGGAGGGTGCATATGTGGACTTAAATACTCTTCCTCTCAGATTGATGAGACAGCCCTTTGAACTGGCGGGAGATTGCCTCAGCATTGTCTGCGATGGGTGGGAATATCTGTTGAACTACCCCGCCAGTTTACATCCCCATGGCAACTGGACGTTTTCAAGTGGTGCAGGGATAGCCTTGTGCGACTTAATTGGTGAAATGTTGGATTGGCACAAACCTCGATGATGAAGCCCTACGTCGATGAATCTAGGAGCTTAATCTACTCCTAGATCGCGCCAGACTTTCGCTTACTCTTTTACTTCAGAGCTACAAATGATGATTTTCCGGGTTTGGTTACAGCTGCATACTGTCTGCTCCCACTTAGCTGGAACGGAAAATGTAGGGGCTGGTGACAGGCTCTGAGAGTCATATTGTTTGTATGTTCATGAAGGATGGGGAGTGAAGCGAAAATGAAGACCAAAGAGAGCTCTGAGAGTTATGAGTGGTGCCTAGTATTTCCTTAGCACGCCCTTGCTGTCAATGAGCCCTGTTAATGGCATACTTTTCCTGCTTTTATTATGTCCAATCATGGAGCTGCAAAATAAAATCTAATTATTTCCACCCGGAATTTTGGGTATAGTACAAAAGGACACAGCGATTGATTCTGACCGACTTTCGATTATTTTACTTGCTGTGTTGCTGGTAAGCGGTTTGCCTTGATTTTGGCCTTTCTCCGGACAAGTGCCCTTTCAATAAGGTACTTGGGGAGATCCGGAATGCTATCGCTACCGGGCTCTGTGCGTTCGGGCTCTCGTTGGTGTTGACTATCTTCTACGCGAGTAGATGATGTACGTTTTGGTCCTTCGGAGTAGCTTTGGGCACATTCACCGTCGCTAGTAAGCATTTCTTTGGGCGCACCCGTTTCTATATCTGACTTACTATCAAAAATTCTTTTGAACTCAACCCTCATGGGGGCCCGACCAAGGCCCGGCCAGATATCGGAAGGTAGAAAATCACCTTGTTCAACCCGAAAGGCTTCCCGATGGCGAACGTCGTCTTCGTACAGCTTGTCTAATTTCACCCTTGCTTCATGAAGGACTCTCTCAACTGCAAGTCGGACTGACTTTCGCCGAGCGACTTCAAGGATGAGGTCATCATACGCATCCAAGAAACCAACATACATGGTTCGGAGGTCCGACAGGTCAGTCATACCGGCCTGCATACGCCCTCGTTGCTCTTTCCAAACACTTGTAAAGACTTGGGATTGGGAGATGTAGCTCGATAGTTTGTTTTTGAAAAAATGGTCTAAATGCTGGACACTGTCTACCGCTCCGGCGCAGGATTGAGCGAGAAGGTCCCGTTCGGTGAAAATTTGGACTAGAATATTCTCCATCTCTGTGATACGATCTTGGATTTCAAGGACAACGTCCTCAGCTTCGGTAGCATCCTTGACAATAACACTTAGCATTTCTTGGTATTCTGATTCTGTTAACGGTTCGGGCGGAGCATTGGGGCTGTCTTGGTCTTCGCCTTCGCCGAGTCTAACACCAACGGCCAACCCGCTCGGGAGCTCGCCTGTGATTCGCAAAGCGGCTGCTCCGCCACCTTCTGTATGCTTAACGGCCGTCGCACAAAGGTCAAAATGGTGGACCAAGGATTCCAGCAAGTCTGCCATCTCCTGTGCATGCGACTCAAGCGAGTGTAATAATTCTGGGATGATAGCTGGAGAAGGGATGTTGGCGCGTGGTTGTGCCGACGAGGACAATTTGGATGAAGAAGACAAGAGGTTCGTAGAAACACGGTATCTGCTCATCTTTCGTTGAATCGAGTCTAGGTCTTCGTCAAATGCGTTATTTGATGAATCTAGATCAGCTTGAGCAGAGTTTGTGTTGTCGATTGCATCCTTCAACACTGTTTGCAAATCTTGCACTGCTTTTTCGTCAACGAAATCGTGCAGGGTCTTGGGCTCTTCTCCTGCAGGAAGAAATGAGGCCTCAACAGGTGTTTCGCGCAATACATTTAGAGCTTGCTGGAGTTTCTCATCTACATCATCGAGCTGCTTGAGGGTAGAAGAGAACTCCTCTCTTCCATAATGCGCGACCTGCCCAATCTCGTCTTTGATCTGATACAATACGCGTAGCTGAACTTCGAGTTCTCTATGGAGGAACCCCGTTCGGGCAGAGAGAACGACACTCTCTTCCAAAGCAGCCCGAGCAGCAGTGACAATTTCATTGGCTCTCCACACATGGTTGATTGACGAGAGCGACCGTTTGGCAGCCACCAAGTGGGCAACAAGGGTTTCTAGATTGGGCTGCTGGTCCTCGTCACCAACGGACGCGGCTCTAAATTGGCCGTCGACTCCCGAAGAGGACATCGAGGAGGATGACATTGATCAATTCTAGGAATCCGCGGAATCAATGATTCTGACCCAGAAGATGCACCAGTCTGCAAGGAAATGCATTTCAGCAGCTATCGTCCACCTGTTAGCAACGCGTCATCTCCTCATTCCACACGCCACGAGGCTTGGCTTTGAGTTTGCGAGTAGCAAGAATAGGGAATGAACACATCTACCCCTGGAGCGGATTTCGCCCACAAGGTAACAATGCCAAGTGCAACGACCCCCCCTCTCTCTCTCAAGGAAAATGCAGAAAAACTAGGATGGTGAAGTACATACAATTGGCGGTAAAAGGGTATTTGGACAGCGGAAAGCGAAGCCTCAAAGAGTGAAAGGAGCTGAGATAACAGTTGGGATCGTGTCATCGTTACCTTAATCTGCATAACAAGCGATGATGATGATATCAGTGAAGCAGGCCGCGACAAGTAGCTTTCGCCTCAGCGCAAGACGCACGAATGGCAGCGAACCCTTGACGAAGTCGAGGAGGGCGGAGGGATGTCGTTGACAACGGTGGCTGGTGATTGGACCCGGGCCGCTATGATGCGATGTGCAGGCCGAATGTCGAAATTTGGCGGCCGAGGTCACGTGGGCCCAGAGTTTTCTGGTCGGCGATACCAGGAGTGGGAACGCACCTTACCAAATATGGACTAGTGGTAGGGAATTGGCGGCGTGACCCGCCGGTGTGGTGGCAGTTGTGTGGAGTCGCTAATCTAGGAAAGGCTTAGCGGTCTCATTAGCGTGGAGACGGATCGACGGCCTGAACAAAAGTCTTCCGGGTGCCGAGGGGGGCAAAATATCAAGGGTGACGAGGAGATGAAACAGTGAGTGAATATCACGACACGATGGCCTCATCCTCAGGCTAAGAGACGGGAGATCGCGAGTATGGATTACGTGCAGATATAAATTCTGCATCCCACGGCAACCAAACTCCGCTATTCGAGGCGTTCATTTGTTCCTGATTCGGGGGTTCCAGAGCTTGGATCCGGCCGGCCACGCGAGATATTATCACCGCGGAGATTCTGTCCTTCCCCCTTTAATCGACGCTCCACTCTTCAGGGCATCATCGTCGTCGTGTTTGTCGTCCTTGCGAAAATCGTCTCTTTCCATTCTGTTGACAGCACATTCGGCACCATGGCTTCGAATTCGCCGCCAGAGTCATCTTCGCAGTCGACTTTCGACACCTGCGCCAAGGGAGATTTCCAGGAATCACCCCGAAAGCGCAGGCGCCTGTCTATTGGCTTCTCGGTCAACCATGAACCCAGTGCGTCTGTGTTTGGACCATCGCCGCCCGGTAACCCGACGCAAGAGAGTCGCGATTACCACGCAGTCAGCGACGTCTCAGTCGCGGGGAATACCCAACTTGACTTGCCCGAGAGGAGCATCGCCCCATTCCTCACAAAGCATATACGCGACCAGCATGCTGTTATGAATCAATTTGAGCCATTGGCGGCCCCAAGCAGTTCAAGAAACCCAAATTCCAGGTATTGTTATCGACATCGGCCGGATTTAAAGTGTCGACGACAAGCGGATGAAATTACTATGGATCAGATGCAACGCGTAAGTTACCTTATACCGCTGGCGTTACCAAGTTTTTCTAAGCTAATATGTTACTCGAATTCTTAAGGAGCTCCATACCCTGTCTCAAAACGATCAGCGGAGCATTGCGCACTTTTGGGCGTTGTTCTCGGCTGCTCCTTCGAAACACCGAAATTTGATGCTGCGAGGCATCCTTGCCCAATGCTGCTTCCCTCAGCTTTCGTTCTTGTCCGCTAGCGTCCGTGACCTTATCCGAATCGACTTCCTGACAGCATTACCACCAGAGATATCATTCAAAATCCTATGTTGTCTTGATACCGCCTCGCTATGTAAAGCGGCACAGGTTTCTCGTCGCTGGCGTGATCTGGCGGATGACGACGTTGTCTGGCACAGAATGTGTGAGCAGCATATTGATCGGAAATGCAAGAAGTGTGGATGGGGCCTTCCAATCCTGGATCGCAAGAGGCTAAGGGATTCACGACGGCAGATCCAACTTCGCGCCACTGGGAAAGATTCAGATAGAAAGAGCGCGACTCCGGAGGCAATGGATGCTGATGAGGACTATTTCAAGACCCAATACCGTCCCTGGAAAGATGTTTACAGGGACCGATTCAAGGTCGGTATCAATTGGAAGCATGGGAGATGCACTACGAAGATATTTAGGGGTCATAGCAACGGCGTGATGTGCCTGCAATTTGAGGATAATATTCTTGCTACTGGTTCATACGACACAACTATCAAGATTTGGGATACGGACACCGGCGAGGAGCTGCGAACACTTCATGGCCACCAATCTGGAATCCGATGTTTGCAGTTCGATGACACGAAGCTTATTAGCGGGAGTCTTGATCGTACAATCAAAGTTTGGAATTGGCGGACTGGGGAATGCATATCCACATACACCGGTCATCATGGAGGGGTTATCTGCCTCCATTTTGATGCCACAACGCTCGCATCAGGGTCCATGGACAACACAGTCAAAATCTGGAACTTCCACGACAAGTCAACACGGATTTTGCGGGGCCACGCTGACTGGATTAACTCGGTGAAAATCGATTCTTTATCACGTACAGTCTTTACTGCATCGGATGACCTGACCGTGCGCCTGTGGGATTTGGATACCGGAAACTGCA